CTTCTGCCAGGATGAAGTGAAACGCCATGACCAACAGATGATGTCTACGCATGGCACCAGTGACTAACAGGGCCACGACCTGGAGCCGTCCTTGTCGACATCTATAGAATTGGCGAGACCCATATGAGGGAGAAGAAGGACCCAGCGACCCTAGAGGCCTTCTCTGTCTCTCATTTTTCTCCTTTTTCCTCCTCTGTAACCTGCGTTTTCCCTTCGCCTATAAAAGGGGAAGCAGGGCGCCCCATGGAAGGGGGGCATGTCTTCACACAACAGTACACGGCTGAGCGATAAGCGAGCTCTCAGCACCCGTTCACTCCTTCCACCAGAGACTTGGGACCCTCTCCCTCTCTCGCCTGTTTGTAACCCCTACTAGAAACCAAGTGCCGGTAACACAAGCAGCAGCAAACTAGATGTAGAGACATTCCACCTAAACCAGTATAAACCCTTGTGTCCTCCGAGCACACCATCTAAGCCAGACGCACAATCTAGAAATTTACTAGTCGGTGACTCAAAACATCGACACCCCCACATGGTTGAACAAAACTTGAGCCATCTTTTGACACTGATGTTGTTAAGCCTTCAATCAAATGGTGACTGCGGCTCCGATACCACTTGAAAGGTCCTAATATGGCTAGAGGGGGGTGAATAGCCTATTTGAAATTCTACAAATACACTAGATCAATTTGATTAGTAAAACAAACAGCGAAAAGCAACTTGCTCTAGCTCTACAAGAGTTGCAAGCCACCTACCCAACAATTTTAGTTGCTATGATCTCTAGTCACACAAGAGACTAAGTCACTAGTCACTAAGAGCTCTCAACAAGGCTACACTAAAGAGCTCCACTAGATGAAACTAAACTACAAGACAAGCTCTCAATTCTAGCTACACTAAAGAGCTTGCTACAACTAGTTTGCGAGAAAGTAATAGAGTGAGTAAGGTGATTATACCACCACATCGAGGAATAAACCAATCATAATATGATGACAACCAATTCACCGGGAGAATTCCAATCAAACAAGAGACACAAGATTTTCTCCCGAGGTTCACGTGGTTGCCAGCACGCTAGTCCCCGTTGTGTCAACCTACACTTGGTGGTTCGGCAGCTAAGAGGTGTTGCACGAACCTCGTACACGTAATTGGACACCGCAAGAACCTACCCACAAGTGAGGTAACTCAATGACACGAGCAATCCACTAGAGTTACCTTTCGGCTCTCCACCGGGGAAGGTACTAGACCCCTCACAATCACCGGAGCCGGCCACGAACAATCACCAATACATGTTGAAGCTCCTCCGCTGCTCCAAGCCATCTAGGTGGCGGCAACCACCAAAAGTAACAAGAAATCCACAGCCACAACGATCCCCAAGTGCCACTAGATGCAATCACTCAAGCAAATGCACTTGGAATCACTCTCAATCTCACTATGATGATGAATCAATGATGGAGATGAATGGGAGGTGTTTGCTTAGGCTCACAAGGATGTTAAGTATGTCAAAGTGCCAAGAGAGTGAGCCCTAAGCCGGTACCTTTCTATTTATAGAGCCCCAAGACTCAAAGAGCCGTTGGACACTTTGGGGCTGACCGGACGCACTGATCGGACGCACCCTAGCGTCCGGTCGCCCTCAGCCGTCCTTGTGTAAGCGCTTTGAATCTCGTCCACCGATCTTCAATGGTCAAGTCCATGCGCTCGTGAAGTTAAAGAGTGACCGGACGCACAGCACAAGTAACCGGACGCACCATACCGCGGCGTCCGATCTGTTCTAGTAAGGTTCCAGAGCGCAAAAATAATTACCGGACGCGTTAGGTCTTAGGCGATCGGATGCGCTGGTGAGTCCGGTCGCTCTAGCACTTCTCTTCGCGTGCTCTTGGTGCTGACGCCAGCGTACATCAGTCACGACCTAACGCAGCCCCTACACGTCCGGTCGTGAGCTCTCGCCTATGTCCGATCGCCTCCAAGCACTTTCCCGCCTCTAGACAGCTGACCAAACGCACTGCCTGCGTTAGATCCTAGTGTTTGGTTGCACATAGGCCTTCTTGGCCAAGTACTACACCACCTGGGTCAACTGACCAGACGCGTCCGGTCAAGCCGAGACCAGCGTCCGGTCACGTGCAGTGACCTTTTTTTCTTTTTCTCAGTCCGCAACCACTTAGCCCTTGCTTCTAACTTGCTAACCAGAAAGTATAGAACTTGTGTGCTCGTGTGTTAGCATTTTTCAAAAGCATTTTACAAGGGTTATAAGTTAGCACACTAGGTCCCTAAATGCAATGCATGAATCATATCACCTAGTGGCACTCGATAACCACTTAGCCGAAGATTTTTCCTCTTTATAGTACGGCTATCGATCCTAAACGTGATCACACTCTCTATAGTGTCTTGATCACCAAAACCAAAACCCTAACCAATACCTTTGTCTTGATCTCTTTGGTTTTTGTTTTTCTCTTTCTTTTTTTTTCAAGTTGAGCACTTGATCATCTTTTGGTCATCATCATCCACCATGATCATCCTCTTGCTCCACCACTTGGAATGGACTATCCTCTCTTGTCTACACACTTAGCACTTAAGATTAGTCCATAGGTTTCATCAATTATCCAAAACCAAATTAGGGCTTTTAATCTCTCCTTTTTTTGGTAATTGATGACAACCTTTCATAAAGATGTTTAATAAAAATTTCTTGGATTCATGTTGCTTGCCCAAACATATTACCATGTGTAAAGGTTGTGGACAAGTTTTGTAAATCTAATTTGGTAGTATGAGCTCCCCCTACATATGTGTTAAGAGTTTGGATTTGAAAGCTTGCACATATGCATATATTTAAAGTTTGGGAGAGTAATAGCTACCAAATGATGCTAAGGTGTAAAGAATGGACCTTTGAAGCGTGATACCAATCGGAGTTGCCATTTGAACACTATCCTTTGCACCATGATTTGTTTGATACCACTTGAACACAAAAGACACTAGATACCTCGTGAGATCAATATTGGAAACAAGGCTCTAGCACCACTTGTAAAGCCAATTCAAGTGTCTAGCTATCCTATGCATGCTAGTTTTCATTACATCAATCATTTTACTATCTAGCATACACCACACAAGCATAAATAAGAAATTAAAAAAACTTATGCCATACAAGCAAACATATGTAATGCACATATAAATGCAATAATCAAGTTTATGTGCTTGCTTCCCCTACTTGTGTGCTTTAAAATTTTAATTGACCCCCTTACATTGTCATTTATTTATTTGCTCCACATATCTCTTACTATCTTTGTGAATTACTTCTCTCCCTTTGTCATCTATGACCACAAAAGGTGAGCTCAAATTTTAGATAGGTTAGGGTGAAACCATATGAAGTGAGAATCTTTTTCCCATATATGGTTCAATCTAGATTAATTGTAAAAGATTTTTAACTCGGTTTGATCCAAAGACAAGCTTCTTCACACCTTCAAATAAGGGTTATCTTGTAACATGTTAAGTTAAACACTTATAGCATTTTTTTAGATCAAACACTAGATTTAAGCATACAATAGTAAGCCCACCATAAAAATTTCACCATAATTAAACCATACAACTGTAGCTATGAATTATTCTAATTAATTACATAAAAGAATAAATCTAAAGCTACAGTGAAAACTTTATACTAAAGCATACCATATTATATATTCACTGTGTAGATCTACTCATGTGGAGTCCAACAAAATTGAATTTTCTATTTTATATTTTTTTTGTGATTTACTATGATTTTTCAAAGATTCAGCAGAAATAAATAAAAAAGAAAAAGACAAAACTACCATCACAGTAGCAAAACCACTGTCCAAAACCGCTTGGGTTATTTGACCGGTTTTGAAAAATTCAGGGGTAGAAAATTCGGTTTTATAGTTTGGGGGTGAAGTAGTCCACCCTAAATAATTTGAGGGTTATGTAGACTTTTTCTATCAAAATATAAACTACCCAACATAATTTTACTAAACACAACTTGCTTCTACAGAACCAAACACCAAGATACTGGATATGTTAATCTATGGAATGCTAAAACTAATATTTGCAATCAATCATACCTTATGTTTACACAATGACGTAACTTGCTAGGGTTGGCCATATTGACCAAAGTCTAAACCGAATCGATCGAGACCAAAGTTTTTGACTACTAGTTGAGTCTTGAGTTCATGCTATCCAAACTTTTTATGGTTAGTTTGTTTATATTATATGCAGTTGTGGAACTTTACTAGGGCACCCGTAATGGTTAGAGCTAGTTACTAGCTCTAAGACAACTTTTTCAATAGTACTAATTTTTAGTACCACCTTTTAGCATGAATAACCTCACGTGACACTCTTATGTAACCTTAAAATATATACCAGTGCTTAGCTTTTGATAAAAACTAGTTTTTTTCTCTCTTTTATTAAAATATAAAAAAATATTTATAGAGCTGTCTTAAGAGTCAATCGTCGAAGCTGTATTTGACAGAAGGGTCATAGCTCACGCACTAGGAAAGAAACCCAAAGGAAAAATAAATAAATCCCCAATCCCCAATTCCCCATCCGTGATCCGTCCCTAACCGGCTAACCCACCCAGTGGCCGGCGGCCAGCGGCAGGGCTCCGGCTGATGGCCGGCGCACGGCGGCGGGACTTCTGGCGGCGGTACTCCCCCGCTACGAGCGGTGCCGCGGTGGGACTCGTGGCGGCAACAGCAGCAATGGCACATGAAAGGCTCGTTCGGCAGGACTGAAAAATAAACCAAAATACTGTTCCGATGGATTGTTGTGAGAGAAAAATATTATTCTATCTGGAAACACTGTTTATGTGAACAGTAAAAGTGTGAGTGCGCTGGCCAGCCCAGCCCCAGCCGGCCAGCCAACCGAACGCAGCCGAAGGTGACGACAGGGCCAACACCATGGGCCGCGGCCGCTGATATCGGAACAGCCATCATCAATGAGCTTTACAGGGCCGTCGATTGTGGTAAGTTCTTTAATTATCATACCGTCGATTATGGAAAGTGATTTTTTTTTCATGCCGTAGATTGAAGTCGGTCAAGAGGAGGAAGAAAATGGACATTTTCGACGACGACGAGGATTTCGATTTCCTGGAGGAGGACGAGGATTTGGGCGCCGACAGCGTTCACGCGCCGCCAGACGTGCGTGTCGCTAGGGCCGCAGTGGCGAATGTGACGGTGGGCGATGCCGACGCCCTGGAGTGCGGCGTCTGCTTCCTCGCGCTCAGGCCTCCCATCTTCCAGATTATTACCACATCTATATCAATCTGCATACATGTTCGGTTATTAGCATTTCTTGAAGCAAGCAACTGAGATTGGAATGATGGATAACCGCACGCATGCAGTGCGAGGTGACCTTGGCGGTGCATGTCCGCGCCGGGGAAGCGTTCAGCATCCGCTTCCACGACGGCTTCAACTTCTTCCTCCTCGCGGACCACCGTGGCGATGGTGAGCAAGCGGCCGCCACTTGCTGCAGCGTCCCGTGCCGGCTGTTCCTGCTGAACGTGACGCAGGAACGGCTTGGCCGTGCCATCTCGGTGCTCTGCATCCATCCTCACGCATCCGCCGCCGCTGCTGCCGACGGTGCTCAGCAGCTGCCGCTGACGCAATGCGAGCGGGTCTTCTCGCGCTGCGGTGACAGGAGCTCGAGCCGTAGCCACTCTGAAGTTGGTCTTGCAGACTTGGATATTGGGACTGATTCCACTGAAGAGCAAGTCATTCCTGGCCCCCCAAATTGTCCAGCACATAAGGATGATGGCAGACTTGGATGTGTGTTTCATGTTCTGTATTTCCTGAGTTATATGTGTGTTTCTTGTTCATCTGTTTCCCAGAGTCGATCTAATGATGACCCTAATTCCGTTTCTCTTCTACCTGTGTACTCCTTTTTATCTTACGCCGTGTTTATTTCCAAAAAAATTTTCCAAAAAGTGCTACAATACCCATCACATCGAATCTTGCGATACGTGTATGGAGCATTAAATGTAGACGAAAAAAACTAATTGCACAGTTTGGTTGGAAATTACGAGACGAACGTTTTGAGTCTAATTAGTCCATGATTGAACACTAATTGCCAAATAAAAACAAAAGTGTTACAGTAGCCTAAATTCCAAACTTCCCACAACTAAACACGCGCTTAGTGCATACAAGAAACCATGATGTCAAAAGGGGGCACCAAGAAAGCTATGGATTTAATGTCTCCTATGTTTTCTCTTGGATTAAGGTGCCGTTTGGTTGGATAACGCGAACGCAAACGTCAACGGGAATGGATGGCGCTCGGACCGGAAACCATGCGAGCACTTACGGCTTTTGTTTGGTTCACCACGCATGAAACCATGGAATCGTTTACTGCCTAAATCGGGCGTAATCAATTTATTGAAGCTCGGGATCAGTTGCCGTGGTATTGGGTCCCGTGGTCGCTGAAACAAACGGAAAGTAACGCTATTAGCTCACGGTGCGATCGGATCACCCCGAAAAGTGCACGAACCAAACAGCATCTAAGTCCAATGTTTGCTTCTGGAATGCCGATTTTACTTTTTGGGTCATCGACTGCGTACTATCATTAAGTTAAATTTTATTAGTGTGAACGCCCATAACGCAAATGAGGTATTTTTGCACTCTTTAGTTGTAGTATTTGATTCATAAGTATGAAGAAACAAAGCAAATATTCGATATACAATATGCATGATGGTAACCATGATTGTCCAGCAGCAAATATTCTTTAGTTGTATCGAGCGAAGCTGGCAGTACCTCTTCTATAATAATTGACTTTAAAATGGCTAATTGTCCTGACAACCATATCTATTCTATCTATTTTCAATGTCAGAACTTACACAGCTGTAGAGCAAGGTCAGATACAGGCATACAGCAAATCGTCCTCACTTTGCAGACCGGGCCACAAGGCCCACTAAGGCCATGCCCGCGCACCCGTATTTGAACAGTTTTTGTTAAGAAAACTATCAATTTCAAAGCATTTTGTTGATGATTAAACCATAAAATTGCTATATTTGACTTGCCTTTTTCGTCCTTGTCCTCTCCTGAGATTTTAAGCAAGCTCTGCCACTGCTTATATGCCTTGGGTAACCGAACTAACCGAATAATTGAACTTTATTAGCATAATTTGTACTTTAGACTATTATTATTGATGTAATATTTACCCTAGTGCATTTATATTAACTATCACTCTTATCAATTTTGTTTAATCTAATATATTCTCTTGCCATTTTTGCCTTGAAGTAGAAAAATATTGCTTAAATTTGCTACAAATTATAATGTTCTGTGGCTATTAGTCTGGTTCGGTTAGTTTGGTCATAAACAAAAACCAAACTTGCTCGATCCTAAGTTTTAAAACTATCCGGTCGCTATTTGATTTTCAGATGGCTGGACTTTCAAAATAACCAAAGAATCGATTGGTTCGGCTCGGTTCGGGTAGAACGAACACCCACCCCTACAACCTACACCTAGTCCAGGTGATAATTTGTGATAACAAAACTAAAAAATTGATCTTTGACATTTATAAAAGTTTAACCGATCCAGGCGACTTTTGGCGATTCCAAAAGAGGGCCTAACTGCCTAAGTATGCTGTTGCAACAGGCCAGGAGATAAGATATCTCAGTTCGTTGTTCTCTTCTTTTTTCAAGAAAAGCCTCAATTTGTTCATATCGGCATCTCCTGGCACATCACAACAGTTGGTCCATGGATGAAGAGCCCAATGATGCCATGGATATTTGGTATCCACGTACCAGTCCAGTTGCTCACGGCAGAGAGAGACTAAAGAAGCTCCCTTTCAGATTCTTTTGGTGTTGCTGATGGGCAGGGGAGAGGGAGACTATCAAGATGCTACCAGAAAATACCCCAATGAGGGTAGAGAGGGTGGAGCATATGCAGCACCAGCCACCAGGGATATGTAGATTGATGGGAATATATAGTATGGAGACTGACGGACGGACCAATCTTCAGCAGATTCCCTTCTCCACATTCTGGACAGTGCGAGAGGGATCATATGGAGATCTAGAGCAGGATTTGGACCTGCATAAACATCAATTTAGTCAGTACGAGGCTGTGAATGATGCATATATCTTTTGCATTTTTCTTTTGTACCTCAGCAACATCAGGGAGGGTCCAGCAATGATTAACATGTAGGGGGGGGGGGGGTCCAACTCGAAATAAAGTGCTGCAAGATCTTACATCTGCATATATATTTCTTTCGTTCATTCAGAAGGTACACTTTTAGGCAGAGTCGCAGAGAGAGTGATGCATGATCTAGTCCTGGTTCTTGAGCCTAACAATTGATCCTCCATTTTGAATCTTTTCTATGTAATAATGCTCCAGGCGTTTTGGATGTCATAGTTTTAGAAGACTATGATATTAACAACTTTTCTATTTTATTTGCTTCTTAATTGTAATTTGGTGGATTTATGTCTTTTCTTTGAAGAGGTTTGAAACCGGAACGTTTCCAAAATTTGATATTAACAACTTTAGTTTCATAAGCCAAGGACCTGAGCTTATAAAAAAAGAGGTTTCGATTGGAGTTTTCAAAATGGCTACAGCATTCGCATGGCCATAGTTCTCAAAACTAAGTATTGTTGTATCCAAACGCGCAGCAGCTTTCTAAATCAAAGTCCTTCTAACTCTGCAAAAAATCTTTTTTCATCCAAACAGGACCCATAAATAGGGCCTGTGAAATACATCCATATTGCTTCATCCAAGTCGTATTTTCATGTTCTGTAGTTATTCTGAACAATCTGAAGCCAAGCTTATTTACAGAATAATATGCGCATTCGCCGCACTTAACCTAATATATATCCGACCCTTATAAAAAACCAATATATATCCATCCTAGAATGCCACTTTCTTTTACTCTTTTCCTTTTCCATTTCCTGACATGAGAATATGTTGGTTGCCGAGCCTTGATGCTCTACGAATTATCACTTTATCAGATAAAAAGATGCAGCATGATGGAAACGGGGTCCTCCCTTGAGAATCAGCCTATGGAGATAAGTTGGACAGTGAAAGAAAGAAAGAAAGAAAGAAAGAAAGAAAGAAAGAAAGGTTCCCCTTGACATCAAATTCCATCTCCAAGAAATGTATGTATATAACAAAAAGAGGACAGGGAACTGGGAAGTGGCCAGGAACAAGAGCAAGGTGCCACCCATGCATGTACCCGGCGTCCTGGCATAGTGAGAGCATGTACACTACCCGTGCACTGTCTGCCTACCTGCATAGTAGAGCAATTTTGGGGTCGAAATAGTGAAAGCTACTGACATGCACATCTAAAGCAAAGTGCTACATGATTTTTGAGATAACTTTTCTGCAAAAAACATTTTCAGATGATCCATCCATCAGAGGAGTCAATTCAATTCTCTGCAGCTTCAGGTTAAGATGCAGATCACTGAAAAAGGGCCACAAAAGAAAAAGGAGAAAAAAAAGGGAAGATAAGTGACATCAAATGTACCTTGTTGCAAATCAGCGAGTGATCCAAGGACATACAAGCTGTTCTCGTCAGAGGCTGCTTTGCCTTCCTGCAGCACTCGCACAGTTGAGCGTGTCATGGTGTCATTCACATTATTACCACACACATGCATGCATTTTCAAGAGGCAGGGATGAATAGCACACTGCATGATTTGTATGATTGCAGTTATGATTGTATATCTTAAGGACAAATGGCCTATATAATTTAATTTCACCAAGTCGATTTTGAAATATACCTAAAAGTTTATGACAGAAATTACAAGTGAGTCGATAATATATTTTTGAAGAAAAATGATCATGGCCATAAAATGGATGATGGAAGTTAACTAGTCAAGATTGTGTGAATCCCACCAGGTGGGTTTGATGGAGGAAACCTATACCTGGCTATGGGACTAGACTAACCCTTGGAAAATGCAAATGCATTAGACTTTTCATTTGTATTTTTCTCTAGGGCACTGAGCTTGCCAATTGATATAGGATACAGCCCTGTCCTTCACTGCCTTGGTTTGGTCAGGAGTAGCTTAGTTTAAGCCTATAATATTAGTAGGTGGTTAGGGAACAAAGCAAGGCCAAGAATCCGCTCAAGAGAGGGGAAGAAACAAAGGACAAGAAGATTGTACCTCCCATGGGGAGGTGCTCCATCTTTTGATAGAAAATCCTGAGGTCTCTAGTACCATGTCACTGTGATATTCCTGTGTTGTTTGTTACTGGTGTTGCCTTGGTGGTGGAACACTGGAAAACTGATGTGGGCAAACCTTCCCATTGTTGCTTTCTCTCTTCAAGAATCTTGCCAACTTTATTAACATTGGGCTCTGCAAAATCATGCAGCTGGACTCAAGCTAGGATCCACTCATTTTAAAATTAAAAAAAAAAAGGAGAGACAAACATAGTACAATGTGGTAATTTAGCAAAAACATCATAGAAACAACGCAACCTCTTCATCATACACAATATTTAAGGCGTAGTTTGTAAGTTCAAACACCGCCGGAGACATTGTAGCGTTTTGTTTTCATCTACAAAAGACAGTTGTTCCCACCTTTATATCATACAGAGCTTTGTCCAATGAAGATCAGACAAGCCTTTTATTTTATATATTGACTTTTCTTAAAGAAAACCAAAAAAAAAATTACATTAGTGCCATTAAAAAACCGAGAGTAGTAGAGATTCATTAGGTCTAGTTTAAAATTTAAATAGCTAGCCCCAAGTCCCGTAGTGGCTTTCTTGGACTGTGGCTGATTTGCTTTTAAAAACAATTGGGATCAGTTTGCTTCGTAATTGTTGAACCCACCAAGATTAGGGCCTTGATTTGACCCCAAAAAGGCCATTAAATTGGATTTAGGTCCCATCATTTGTTTCTTCCTTCGTTTTCTCTCCACTCCTTTCCCCCTTCCAACTGAATCCATTCTTTGAAGGTCCCCAGAGACCGTTCTGATAAAAAAACATGATAGAGCTCAAGTGATTAAGCACGTACTAAGGCACTTTTTCAAATCAAAAGCGCTCCATGCATCTTTCAAAGGCTTAAAGATTGGCGACCCTGAATAATTAAACATGGTGATCTGCTCTAAGCCTCATTAGTTGCTTGAAAAGTACCTTTGTAACCCCACCACTGGTCCACTACTTCCATGCTAATGCAAATGCAAATCACGAATTGTTACATATTTTTATTCAGGTATAAAGACAATTTGAAAAGGTACAAGAACAGCAATATATTTGGACTTGTTCAACCCCCTACACTCTGGTTTCGGGAAAGCTTGACTAGGGAAACACAACTGAAATAGCTCCAAATTTATTTGAGTTCAATTCAAAATGTGTGGATGCTCAAAGTATCTCCATTTTTTTCTTCATACAAACTTCACGGGTCGTTGAGAATAACTAAAAAATAAGTGATACATTTTCAGCCAAATGAACTAATTTTGCAATTTCTACGCTTCCCTCGCTATCAAGTTCTTAATCACCTTTTCCCCAAGAATTGAGACTGTCTTCAATGTAAAACTACGGAGACATATCCTTGACATTCTTCGTTGACACATAGAGAATTTATCGTAACAGTATATTCTTGCAAATAGACCTTCCTCTTGAAATCAGCATCTGTTCTTCCCCCAAGTTGCCAATGAGTAAGGTGCATACAAATTTGACGGCATAAAGTATATGCCACGTTGCTATCCTTGACAATGAAGAAACATTAAAACCCAAACTTGAAAATTCGTCTGTTGTATTTCTCCTACAAAAGTGTTATTTGTTCGTTATTACATAAAACTTTAGCACGCAGTCCAGCGCAACCTACCCCTAAAGTTTTAACTCGGTAAGTGGGCAAAAAAATATTTGCCTCATTTGTACTTGTGTATGCCTCAATTTTGTACACAAGAGAGGTATGATATATTGATACTATATGATATATACGATACTCTCAAATACAATACCATGAAAGTACAGACGTTGCCTTGTGACTTGGGTATATCTTTACAGATTGATGACTTTTGTATGTAGTGCTTGGCTCCTCGCCTGCTCCTCCGTCAGAGCTGGAGCCGAAGGTAGGAACCTCAAGTCTTAGCTCCTCCTTCAATAAAAATGGCTCCGAGTCCTCTTTCATACGCTAAAAAACGGCTACTTTTTGGGCATTTAGTCCGGCTCCTCTTCCGAAGTTGCCACTCACTAAACATGCCTGTAGTATATATAATACTCCCTCCATCCCAAATTGTAAGACGTTTGACTTTTTTACCTCAAGTTTGATCACTCGTCTTATTCAAAAAATTTGTGCAAATATAGTCAAATTTAAGTCATTCTTGAAGAATTTTTATTAATAAACCAAACCACGACGAAAGAAGTGATATTTTACACAAATTTTTAAATAAGACGAGTGGTAAACTTGATGTCAAAAAAGTCAAACGTCTTACAATTTGAGATGGATTGAGTACATGTTTATAACCGTATTGCCGAACATAAGTAGAAAAAACTCACACAAGTAGCTTCGCCGGTATCCCCGACCCCTACAAAAACCTAGGCAATTGGGAAATTTGTTGCAACCGGTAGAAGAAGCATTTTTGTGATTGCCTTTGTTCCTTGCGGTTATTTGTCTTCCTAAGATACCACCTTCTTCACACCATATTTCCTTGCCCATACGCCCATATACATACATCAAAGAATAGCCAACTATATGTGTAGATTATGCAGCAAAATGTAGTAATAATAATCATCATCATTAAACAACCAAACAAATGATGCTGCAATTTCATATAGTAAACTACTCTAATATATATAACTAATAACACATCTAAAAATCATGTATTTTCCGGATACAGCAAAACGTTGCAGGTTGAAGGAACTCATCACAACCAGTTCTTAGCCAGAACAAGAGCTTAATAACTAGCACAGCCAGGCTTTGCAACATCTTCTCACGGTTAACAATCCAAATCAGTTGATTAACCGTCTAATATAATCCTCTCTCTCACATGACGCTGCACGCGTTGGCGTTCTCCTCGCTGAACATGTAGTACGATCCGGGCGCCGCCGACACCGGCGCCGTCGAGTAGAAGTACCCGCCGCCGCCCCCCTCTGGTGTGTACGCGGCGCCGGCCATCGGGTGGTAGTACGCGCTGCTCCGGAGCGCCGAGCTCGGGTGCGCCGTGCTGTAGCTCATGACGTACGCCGGCGAGTGGACCCCGCCGGCGGCGTAGTACCCCGGGTAGCTCATCGCCGCGCCAGGCGGCGGCGGCGGGTACGGTCCGGCGTCGACGACGGTGAGAGGGCCGGAGTTGCCGGCGGCCGGCTTCGTGGGTGCTGCGTCCGGCGGGTGGACCTCCACGATTGCACCGGCGCCGGCGCCGTCTCCGTTGGCATTGGCATTGCCGTTGCTGTTGGCGTTGCGGTGGCCGCCTTTCTTGCCTTTCTTCTTGCCGCCGCCGCCGCCGCCATTGCCGTTGGTGGCGGGCGCGATAGGCTGCGGGCCGTGCGGCGTCAAGGAGAAAGGGGCCACCTTGCCGCTCGCACCGCTCTCGTGGGCTTCTCCAGCGTCAGGGGAGCCATTGCCGCCGCCGCCGCCAGCCTCAGGATTGTCCTGCTCACCATCTGATGCCTCATCGCACGAGGCGCCACCGTCAGCCTTGTCGTGCTGCTCCGGGGGGCTGGGTCCGCCGTTACCCTCCGCCGGCGCGGGCGCGGGCACTGGCTCGGCGGGTTTGCTGTTCGTCGCGGCCGCGGGGCTCTTGTTGCTCTTCTTCTTTTTCTTCTTCTTGCCTCCGCCGCTGCCGGGAGACCCACCGGGCCCGGGCGGGCTACCGCCGGCTGCCGGTGGAGCTGGAGCAGCAGGCTCCGGCCACGGCTCCGCGTGCTTCCCGGACTTGAGGAGCTTCTTGACGAGCGCGTCGGCGGAGACGTTGCCGATCACCACCACCTTTTGATGCTGCGTGTCTATGTCCGTCTTGTACACCCCTGGATCAGAATCAGAGGAGCTGGTGCATCAGTGCAACAACAATATACATACACAAAAGAAAAAGATCAAACAACAGAAGGCGAAAAAGCGCAGGACATAGGCCACACTGGCAAAGACTTGTTCAGACTTTTGTCAAGTCTTTAAGAACTAACCTGATTTAGTGAGAAGAAATAACAGAAGATTGCTCACTGCTTGAAGGTTCTGAAAATGAAACTGAAATTGTTCTTCCAGTTTCTTGTGAAGCATACCATACCTTCTATGCTGTGGAGCACCTTCTTGACCTTCTTCTTGCAGCCCTCACAGTGGATGCTCACCCTCAAGGCCAGAGTCTGGAGACACAGAACAAGAAAGGAACATCACAACCATTTAGCCAAAGGAAGCATCAGTCAAAATATGAGCAGCAGCAGCAGCAAGTCTTGGATAGGCTGGACTATGAGCGTCTCACCTGATACCTGAGTGGCTCTGGCCCTTCTTCGGCGGCCGCCATGGCTGAGCAGGAAGAGGGGAGGGCTGGACCAAGATGAAAGAAGGTGAGGAGGAGGTGAGCGGAGACTGAGAGATGGGAGGCTGCGAAAGAAAGAATGCTAGTGTAGTGTCTGGCCCTGAGGAGAGGCGTCTGGACTAAATAGCATCTGGGAGCAGGGCTGAACAATGCCGTAAGTATGAGCTTTTTGTTTGATTCTTTTGGTGGTCTGGAGTAGAATTTGATGAGGTAATTGTTCGCCCACATCTATCTCTGCTGCTGGGTGCAAGATGCCCCCATCTTTGTGTTCACGGCAAGAGGGCGTTGTTTTCATTTTTATTTACCTCCTCCACAAAATCAAGCGTCCGTGTTCACTATGGAGTATGGAGTATCCCCCCCCCAACCCCACCCCCCACCCCACTCCCCACACACACACACACAAAAAGAAAGGAAAAAAAACCCTGCAAGTTAGGGGGGGGTGTTAAATACCAACCTGCAATTCACTTCCTTATACGCAAACACTGGCAAAATTTGTATGTTTTCAAAATCTCCCTTGAGCCTTTTTTTGTTTGTTAGTTGGCCAGACGTACCACGAGGAGATGCGCTATGCATGAATAGTAACTGTGTTAAAGATTGCTCGAATAATAGAATCATATAATAGTGCAGCATATCCAACTTCAAGGAGAATTAATAGTGCTGGTCTCGATGATATAAAGACGATTTCAGTTGGAACAGACACAAAAGGTGTATTTGAAGACATAGAACTCAAGAGTGTACTGTTAGACTATACAAGGAGGTAAGATATAGGTCTACGAATATTCGCATACGGTCCGTCCGGACGAACCCATATAATAAGTCGTCTGCTTGCTTTGCGCCTTGCCTGTGCCGCCCCCAGCCGCATTGCCTGCTCACTCCTACGCGCCTCTGCTCCGGGAGAGACCCTGCCCTCGGCCACGCCGCCCCGCCTGCATCCCCGCCGCCCACCGTGCCGCGTACCCCCGCCTGTACTCGCGCCTCCTGTCTCAGTCGCGCTCCATCCGTCTGCCTCTGCCCCTGTCGAGGTCCGTGCCACCGCCGAGCTCCACATCGTCGAGCTCCACGTCGACGAGCCTCCATTCGTCCAAGCAGCAAGCAGATGCTACACTGAAAGCGTATGTTGCAATAGTACGTTTCAAGTGTTTCAGAGATATGTTGCAAGTGTTGTATATCGATGTTGCAAAAGTAGATTAGGATGTTGCACATGTTGTAATGGCTATACACGTGTGTTTCAAGTGTATGTTCTAAATGTTTCATATGTTCCAGACGAATGTTGTAAGTGTTTTATCTGATTGTTGCAAAAATAGATTTGGATGTATATGCATGTTGCAAGCATGTTTCAAATTTTTCGGGTGTTTCATATGTATGTCTGCGAGTGTTTCATATGCAATGTTTTTCTAAATGGTAAACGGTAGACAGTCGGCGAGGTCTCCTGTAGCATTTAGACCGTGTACACAGTTTTACACGGATTACTCGTTTTTACTTTATTTGTAAAAATAACTATAATAACCTGTGTATATATTCCTATAACATAGATAATATAGAATTACACAACAACGGTTAGTCCAATAATATAGAATTAAGAACCTAAGTGCTAGACCTAATAGCCTAAGTGCCTAATAAAATACTCCCTCCATCCCAAAATAAGTGCACATCTCGCTTATCGAGGAGTCAAACTCTTTTAAGTTTGACTAAGTATGTAGAAAGTAATATTAATATTTGTATATTCAAATAATTTTATTATGAAAGTATATTCCACAACTAATCTAATGGTACTTATTACACATCATAAACATTGGTAATATTTTGAAAATATTTGATAAAATTTAACAAAGTTTGATTTCTCGACATGTGAGATATGCATTTATTTTAAGACCGAGGAAGTAACACACATAGACACACCTAACATGAATTAAGGAGGTTAACAAATGCATCGTATGTGGCACTAGCAGACAAAGCAATTCGAAATCAGTTATAAAAAAAGGAATTTGAAATCTCTATATATGTTCTTTACAGAACACACATTATTTATTTAATTACTTTACATAACAAAGCACACGTTGGTTTCTAGAGAGGAGAATGCAACACTAGTAGTCTAATACGCACGTGCTGGAGCATAACAGATGATTTTTAGAGAAGAGAATGGGGTATTACTGTATTAGTATTAGTACTAGTCCACATTCTGCACATGATGTAACATACGTATATCAGTTGATTTCTAGAGAATAGAGCGCCAATACTAGCACACACATGATGGCGCGCAGAGAGAGCAACTGGAGCACGGCGTCGCATATGAGCAGACAACAGAGACAGCTGGAGAGTGTCCCACCCGAAGGCTGCCATCGCGTAAACGCCTTGCTGCTCGCTAAACTCGCCGCACAAAACTGTGTTACGACCGAACCGTGTCGACCGTGTAGGCCGTGCACGACCATTTTTTACCATTTACACGGGATCGCCGTGTAACCTACCGTTTATGGCCTAAACTGCACGTTAGGCTACCGACTAGCGATTACACGCCGAGTAATCGGTCTACACGGCCGTGTAGGCGAACACTGTTCATATGTATGTTGCATATGTTTGCAATGATTTTCAAATGTTTTTCAGTCATTTTCGCAAGTGTTTCAAATGCTTGTTTTAATTGTTTAATTTGTCTTCTTTTGTATGTTGCAACTGTTATATTTTGATGTTTCAAAAGTAGATCGGGTGTTACACATGGGATGTGCGTGGGAAGCAGCCGATGGCGTGGACGACATTCGAGGTGGCGTCGGCGATGTCCAGGGCGGCACGGGCCCATTGCTAATGCGCTCCCTCATGAGCTCGACGCGCTATGTGCTCGTTTGCTCCCTTTGCACGACAGCGTCCGGACGCAAAGTCCGTATTCACATATCATATTGAGCCAGGGCCACCACAGTTCCTTGTGTGAAAATGATTAAAACAATTATATCGGGTTGAATTTTTTTTAGGTTTGCGTTTTGATATCCATGCGCTGTCCACGAAGCTGTTGGGACTAGGCCAAATGTGCTTGTGCCAGGCCAAAAATGCTCAGGCCTAGTACAGGTGTTTGAGACTACATACATAGACATCCATACCACTAAATGATCTCTTTTTTATAAAGACAAAGGTCTGTTTAGTAGGGCTATATTCAAAAAAAAAAAAAAAAAAAAAAATCTTGCCTCTAGTTCCCTAATTCTCTAATGGAGTGGTTATGGTGAGAGACTAGGGTGAGGAGCAGGTGGGAAGTGATCTTGATGGAATTGAGCGTCGATCGAGCGGTGTGCGGATTTTTTTTAATTCCTAGCTTCTAATGAAAATTAAGAAACTATTCTTAAATGATCATAGGGGCAAAGCTATGGGTGCATTTAATTTGGTAGAGATCTAGGTTCTCATAGGAACATTTCAAATCCATATTCTCTCAAGAAATATTTCGGATGATGGATTAGAATCGATTTATAAAATCGTTTGAGTGGTAGGCAGGATGCTGCCATTTCAAAAACAATTTCATAAAGAAGATAAAAATTAAAATATGCTTAAAACTACTATAATTTCATTATGTATGCATCCTCTAAGGCACGTGTTTACGTACTCTAAGGGCAAATACGTCATCCTCTAATTTACTCTAACTTCGCCACTATCTAAACATACTAGAATCTAGTTGTGTTTTACTCATTTATCTGTTTAGTTTAGGAACAATTCTGATGAAGAACGACTAAGAGCGCTCCCAGACGGTCCCTAAAACACACCCTCACACACACTCACACCACCGTCACGATTCACGCACGCGCACACACATGGCCATACATAACGGGGAATGGCAAAAGAAGTTCTGAAGAAGCTTTTTTCTTTTCTTTTCTGACTGATTTGAATAAAGACAGCTAAAACAAACTAAAAAAAAAGATGGACAAAGAAAAGGGAAAGAAGCTGATGTTCCCTGTTGGTCCACAGCAGCGCTACCTTTTACACCAACTAGAAAAGGAAGCGCGCTTCGCGGCGCCCTACCAGCATCATTTGAATCAAATTGTTAAGCAATATTATTAAGTGCATTTACAAGACATACCCTATGATGAACACTCTTCTGATTACTGGAGGCCTATTTGGGGGAATGATTAGACCTCAAAGAAGTTTTACACATATATTTTCAGCGCAGTGGATGCTCATCCAATTTTCCAACTGATGTGGAAATCAAGCTGCACCCCGAGAGTTAAGTTCTTTATCTAGCTTGTCCTGGTGGATTGGCTCAACACCAAGACAATGTGATTTTTTTATAATTTTAACCTTTTTTTGAATATAATTTTAAATCTAATACTGTCGGATTTTTTTTAAACTAACACTTTTGGCCGCGCCTATTACCATGGCGCGGCCAAATGTCTGTGCTGCGCCATGCATGGTGGCGCGGCAGAGGGCTGACGTAGCGAGGGCCGGACTGGGGGACCGATGACGTGGCAGGTGAAAGCTCTAGTTTGGTTTTGGTGAATTGATGAAACCATAAGTGCTAACCTAGTTTATCAAGTGATCATGAGATAGGTAGCACACTCCAAGTGGTGAAGCAAATAAAGATCATAGCATGATAAAGATGATGGCATGGTGATGATCAAGTGCTTCGACTTAGAAAGAAGAAAGAGAAAAACAAAAAGCTCAAGACAAAGGTATAATTTGTAAGAGCTATTTTGTTTTGGTGATCAAGACACTTAGAGAGTGTGATCACATTTAGGATTGATAGCCGTACTATTAAGAGGGGTGAAACTCGTATCGAAATGCGGTTATCAAAGTACCACTAGATGCTCTAACTCATTCCATATGCATTTATGATCTAGTGGAGTGCTAAACCCCTTGAAAATGTTTGTGAAAATATGCTAACACTTGTGCACAAGGTGATACACTTGGTGATGTTGGCACATTTACAAAGGAGGTGGTGTTTGCAGGGTTGAGATGGGTTTGGGTCCCTCTCTCGATTCGGCGCTTTCGAGAAAATGGAATGCCTATTTTCTATT